TGATGAGCCATAATAAGAGCGAAACTCGAGTCTAGTGCTTCCGAGTGTATGGTCGAATTGATGATTTGAGGATTGTGTGTGAAGATGAAGTCCGAAGAATGATCAGTTCAAATCAATCAATACTTTATTTCACCGATATCAAAATTCACCATTCGTGATCGCGCTCGGGATCAAACGTTGATGCACTGACCGGTTATGAACTGGCAGCGATTTCAAATCGAGGTAGAAAAAAAAGTTTTATGGTGATTTCCAAAATGTTGGGTGATACGTTTCCTGGATGAACTAAATTTGCAACTCTGATAATGTTTGTCTGAGTAAAAGTTTCGGTTCCCAACTCATCGGTTCACGATTCGAGTCTCAACAAGACCATAAACATAGTGCGTTCGCCCGGTAATGACATCGAACAGGGTGAGAAACGCTGTCCATTGCCGTTTGTTGGTCATCACACAAACAAAATTCCATTGCATACACGAGAGAATACTTTTGAAACAAAAGAAACCACGATTTACCGAATCCCAACCAGATCTTTTACGTGCTAGTAAAAAACACCTTGTCGTGCTTCACAGAAATCGGTAAGTGGTGCTAAATGTATGATTCTGAATGAGAAATTTTGTACTAAAACATCACATTCTTCGGTAACCGAAACGTGTGCGTAAACAATTCTTTACCGACATAGTTGTGTTATTAACACTATAACATTCACAATAAAACAACACATGGCGCATTGATTTTTCGATGCGCTTCTAACACCATTTGGTCCTGAAATGAGATACGACGGTTCATTGTAGCTACGAGCCCGTTAATTTGCCTGGTTCAATGAGTGCAATAGCCAACAAACAGAGGATTTATGATTTCCGTAAATTCATTGTTGTTCGCATATGTCCACACACGAGACAGTTTACGAGCACTATAGTAATCGAGCTGTCACTTGGATGAAAGGTACATTGTGAAAGTGCAGCTTAATTTTCCTGACGGATGGATGGATGTACAAAAAGTTTGCCGTTTGACTGATTGGTGTTTAATTTACGCATGGGTGGATTAAGTCAACAACCGATCATCGTTCGGTACTTTCACTGATCCTTCTTGAAATCGCTAAATTC